CTCACAAAGCCTATATAGTCCAAAGGGGAGCAGAGAAAGTACAGGAAAACAGGAAAGAGATTAAATAAGTACCAATTGTGGCAAGTGCTATAAAGGAAGCAGACCGGAGCTGGGAAAGAGAATAGAAGTGGGGTGGGGTGGAGGGTGATTTCAGATGGAGGGAAGAGGGAACATGAAAGCAGGGGATGGAAAGGAGCCTGTCTGGGAAGAGCAGGGTTTGGCAAGTACTTTCCAGGTGAAGAGATGTTTATAGGGAGATATGATAGGAATTGAAGTGTTTTTTTTTTTTTTCTTTGTTTGTACCAGAGATTGAATCCAGGGATTCTTAACCACTGAGCCACATCCCCGGCTCTTTTTATTTGAGACAGGGTCTCACTAAGTTATTTAGGGCCTCATGAAGTTGCTAAGGCTGGTTTTGAACTTGTGACCCTCCTGCCTTAGCCTCGCAAGCACCTGGGATTACAGGTGTGAGCCACCACACCCAGCAAGGATGGAAGCCTTAAGGCAGATCTTTCCATAGGGGGATCTGATCGGGACTGGGAAAAGTGTGAGATATAACTGTGAAGGACTGGAGAATGCATTGAAGGGAGGGTCCTGAAAAATAAACCATTGTGGATAAACTGGCAGTTTGGGCTGGGGATGTACCTGAGTGATAGAGCACTTGCCTAGCATGCATGGAGGCCCTGGGTTCAATTTCCAACACTACCAAAACCAAAAGAAACAGAAAAATTAGAGGTTTTCCCAGTTAAGCAAACTATTGTCCAGAGGAGCGGGTGGTGGTTTGTTCAGATAAATTGATTTCCAGTAAGTTCCTGAAGCAAATAATGAAAGTTATGTACTGGTTTGCAGTATTATCTTCCTGGGCAAGAACTTTCTGGAATGCAAACGGCCTTAGTGTTATGGTGTGGCTAAGTGCAATAAAGGAAGCAGACGGGGGCTGGGAAAGAGAATAGAAGTGGGATGGGGTGGAGGGTGATTTTAGGTGGTCTCAGCTCTCAAAGGCAGGGAGGCTGTGGTAGTCTAGCTGAATGATGACGAAGTGACCTTGCTAAGGTGGGAACGGTGAAGAGAGAGAAATGGAGGGACTGGGACGTGTCTTTGGAGAAAGACCAATGGCATTCACTAAACAGACTAGATGGGAAAGAGGAATCAAGGGTGACTGTCCGTTTTTTGCCACCGAAGAAGTGTAGTCCTAGTTATTGAGATGGGGGAATGGCAGAGGGTATAAACAGGCTCCAGGATGGTGGTGGTTAAAGGTTCAGTTTTAAACATAAGTCTAGGATGTCTGTGAGACCCCTCAGTAGAAAAGTCAAGTGCATATTTGGGCATGCGAGTCTCAAGTCTTAAGATATTGAAGTAAAAAGTGGACTGTGGAAGTCTCTTAGGAGAGAAGGCAGATAGGGAGGAAAATGGGGTGTAGGAGATCTTGGTCCACAGGAGCACCCACCTAGAGACCAGGGTGGAGAAGGAGCATAAACAAGGGAAGCTGATCAAGGCAGTCTGAGGGCAAGGCGAACTCAGGAGAGTGCGGAATCATGTAGCCAATGTTTCAAGGAAGGAGCGGCTGATTGGGTTAAATGGTGTAAATTTGGTAGGTATTCCTGGGAAGTGGTATGATAATATAGAACAAGATCTAGAATTCTCAATGAGGTAATTTCTTTTTTCCATTTGCAATCTGTGACCTTGAGCTTCCTTTTTCTCCCCTCTAAAAAGGTATAATGACACACCCTCAAAGATTTGGGGCAAGATGCAAATAGATGTTTTATAGGAAAGTAGTACTGTGCCTAAGGCATAGTAGGCAGACCCTCAATGTCTGAATTTGGTGGTAGTGACTGAAGAGGCCTGATACCAATGAGATAAAGTAGATGGTGGAATATCGGAGACAAGAGTGCACCTCTCGCCTCCCTGTTCTTCCCATCTCAATCTGCTGTGGCCAAGGGAAGTTATGAAGAAGGAAGCACGGTGAAGTTCCCCCACTAGAGCCGAACAGAGGCTGGAGAAAAACACCAGCAGATGGAAATCACAGGAGCCTCGTCTGGGAAGAGCAAAGGATACGTGGAACCTGGGGAAACTGTTTCATGGGTTTCTGAGATGACTTCAACCAGTCATCCTCAAAACAGACCCTCAAGAGTCAGAGCTGACTTCTCCCACCCTGCTCCCCTACCTGTTCACTCCTTTGCATCCCTTTATTCCTGGGTTAGCTCAGGCCTGCACCATTTTTTACCCTGGTCATTGCCTCTCTTTCTCTTTCCAACTAGACAGATCTTGTCAGAGACCTTACTTTGAATCCCTTAGCTCACCCCCACCCCTAACCCCGTTCCTTTCCATCAGCCAACCGATCAATAAGCTATTTATTAAGGGCCCACTCTTGGCAGAGTCCTGGTTAGGCACACAGATTTCCCTAACAGTGAACCAGAGATCTATCTCAGTCCTGTGGAGCTTACAGTCTAATAGGGAAGACAGACATAGGTGATCACCATGCTATCTGCCATCAAGGGGTTTCCAGAGCCCACGAATGAGGTGCCTCCCCCAGTTTTGGGCCATCAAGAAAGGCTCCTGGAAGAGTTGATATCCAGGCTGAGACTCAGAAGGTGAATAAAGGGAATGAGCCAGGGAAGGCAGTGGGTGAAGGATGTGGAAAATCACAACCCCCAGAGAGAAAAGGAAGCACAATAAGCCCCAGGGAGAAAAGCAGAACAATGCACTCCGGACTTTCACAATTTCTCATATCTACAGCTATTCCCCTGACTGCCCAACAGACACATCCCTGCGATGACTCAGCCTCACTGAACCCTATAAAACTCAGACCCCTAGAGTAACCTCTTGCCACTTTCCTCTTGAAAATGTGCCCCTCTGCTGCTGGAGAAACCATCCCTGATCTGTTGAGGTCTGTCTCTTGTTTCTTTTTCTTTCTCTTCCATTTGCTTCAGTGGAGGAACGATGAAATCCAAAGCCCTTAGAAGGCCTTGGAAGCCTCACTGGCTATCACCTGACCAAGACCAGCCACCCACACTGGGCACACACAGGGTAATTTGCAGTTTTATAAATTGCTGATCCTTTAGCTTGTCCTCTTCCAATGGTCCCTCCAAGTTCAGATGAGGCCTCCCCCAAAAGACCGATCCCAGTCCTTACATCCTAAGGCCCTCAGTAGGTCCCTGCCCAACCAGGAGTTTGCCCTGTCTGAACACTTTCCACTCACTGGAATTGTGTGCACTCTTTCCTTCAGGAATCCAGTATCTGGTTGGGTGATGCTCACCTGTAATCAAACTTATTGGCCAGGTGGAGGTAGGAGGACTCCAAGTTTGAAGCCATTCTGAGCAACTTAGCCAGACCTTGTCTCAAAAATAAATAAATAAATAAATAAAAAGGGCTGGGAATGTAGCTCAATGGTAGAGTGAACCTTGTACTAAATAAATAAATAAAATTTAAAAATGGAAATCTAGGAAGGGCGAACAATGTCTCATTCATCCTGCTGTTCCCAGCACCTAATGGGCCAGGCATATGGTAGACATTTAGTAAAAACTTTGAAAGAAGAAAATCC